TCTCAGCTTGGCCGTTGGACATAAACACAGTTATCTTTACCATAAATGGCAGATTTTCTGGCAATATTAAAACATTACTGATATAGTGATCAAATCACTAAATAAAAACTAAAATTCAAACAACAAACATCTGGCTGGTACTTGCTGACTCTTAGTATTGCATAATGTCTTGGAATTTGAAAAAGGGATGTGAAATCCAGTCCTATTTTTATTAACTTGCATGTAATTTGTTAATTTTCTGTTGCCTTTAGTTGAAAGAAAGATGTCAATGATCAGGCAGGCATTAGAAAATAAAATTGAACAGAGGTTACATCATTTTCCAAACCCTGCCTCGCCCTGCAGTACAGAAAAACCTCATGTTACAATCTCTGTATCTAACAAAACTGGGCTGACTCTAAATGTCCTGCCAGGAATGTTTCAACAGACAGGCACATAGCATTAAAAGCAGCGGTTTCATTGCTGGCTGCTTTGGTGGCATCACACAGTGCTATTAGAAAGCCAAGGCCTGGGACCACTCCCAGCATCAAACCCAGAGAATGGTTTGATTCCATCTCTTATGAGTTCTCCCTCAGTCTCCTTCCAAAGGCCCCGAATGTACTGGACAGCTGTGAAAACATTACATATACAGTAGAAAGTACATGCGAGGACCTGCGTGCTGTTTAATTTGTGAGAAGTTTTGAAACAAAGAATGGGGCGTGTTCAGGACTGAGTAATGGAGCAGCCTGCTCACAGCCTGGAAAAACCGTCAGAGGAGAAGCAAAAGCAGACAGGAAATGAGCTGGATAAGAGGAGCACGAGCCCAGTCACCCCCACGTCCAGACACTGGTTCTATACTTCATTACATCCCACTGAGACATAACTAATAGCAGCTGACAGACTTGTCGTCTGTTTTCTGCACTCAAAAGATGTTCAGTTTCCTATGATAAATTGGCGTCTACATGTCATTTAATGTGTTGTAATGTGAAGGATTTATGAAGTATGTGGTCATACACATATGAAGGACTGTTTAAAACACAAACATGTGACTAGGGTGTCAGTTCTAATAAATTATATGGTTGGACATAGGCATATTGCTTTAAAAGGTCATATTTATTCATTTTTTTCCATTCACCCCATTTAGTCATAATGATAATTTAGTTATTTGCTGTGGTTTCAAGATAATTACCACTGAGACTTCTGTTGTCATCTCAGTATAATGGAGATGAACAGAACTGGGTTTGTGGTGTTCAGAGTAAGGCTTTTTGAAACGGCTCTTTGCAGACACAATATATTGGTTAGTCAAGACAAGCCACAGACCTTACAGTAAACACTTTACAGTTTGTGTGTGTTCAGGAGAAAATAGTAGCTCATGATATTCTGCAGCAGGAAACCGGGCTATAGTATACACATGACTTCAAGTCACAAACTCCTTATATCATTGTTTTAATAAGCAGGAATTTTCTAATTACTACTGAATATTGGTTAAAAATCATTGTCATTAATTCTGGGCAGAATCAGTGCAGAACATTCTGTAGAAAAAATGTATTTACAGAACTGTTTGCTAAAGAACAGCTCTTTGAAAGAGAGACTTCATATTTTGAAGTTGCCAGTTTGTGCAATTCATTTCATGGTGCTAAGAATAATCAGAAGTGTGCTGTTTGTGCCAAAATAGTAATTTCCAGTAGGAATATTTTCAGCCTCCTGGTTTTTACTTCCATTAATGACCCTTCAGTCAACAGTGAAGTCAGTCACCTACCCACACATCACGACACGTATTTTATAAATAGCAACCTCGCATTTTAGATTTAGTCTGAGAAAATTGGAGCCACATTTTCAAAAAAATGTTTTAAAAATTATTTGATTACATGAAATTCTGTGAAGATACAGTAGCTTTCAGTGTTCATATTAAGAATGTGAGGTATTATATCATTTTAGGGTTAATAAGGTTGAGGGAAATACAGTGTAAATAAAATGCTCTTCAAATGACACAAATCAAACATTTATCATGTCCCTAAAACAACATACTGCTGTTCAATAATTACATGAACATAAATCCTAATTTGATTCATGTGATTCTCTTCAAGTTAAGATAAGTTTTAATCAGAATATACGGAGCGGAACAGAGCAGGGAAACAGCAAAAAGCAATTACAGCCATTCACAATTAACAATACATAATTAAGTTTAAAGAGAATCTGATGAACAGACCAGAGCTTACTGGTCCGGTCTGGGAGGATGCTGGCAGAAGACCAAATATCCTGTTCAAAAGCAGGAACAAGAACACTTTCGCCAAGGCACAACATTCGCTCATGCAAATGGGTCCCTTGTGACAAATAAGATCCAGAACTGCACTAAATGTGTCCTAAAAACTTTGATCTAGATCAGATATTGGTCATCTTTTAGGGCATGATAGGACATTATACTATGCATCTTACCTGAAAATTTCAGGGTTCCATCTTCATTACAGGCCAAATTATAGCAGAAAACGTTTTAAACGGGGTAATAAGTTGTACAGCTATCTGAATTGAAACTCCCCTGAAAAGCTGAACGTGTCAGCACAAGATGTGGAATGTTGTTGAATCAATACTGGTCTCGTTCTTTAATGATTAATGTCAACATGAAAATAAATAAATAAATATCCTGATAAACCCTGGCCATTAGTGGACTCCCATTGTTTGTAATAAAGATGTTGCATCACTACTTTTGTTCTATTGTTCAGATACGCATGTTTCCAAGAAAAGTGTCATGAATAGAAATACAGTACACTCACTGATATATAGACCAATCAACCATACAAATGACTAAAATGGATCATATATGACATCTGATTGTTATTATTTCAAAACAGCAAGAAAACAATGGATGAGACAAGGATTTTATCTCTTGCAGCACCAGTAAGTCTAATAACTTTGCCGGTCTTAGATTGCATCACAGATAACCTGCTATGACATATCATAGGAAATTGAGAATAGCTGAAAAGCTACAGCTGAAAGCAAACTGCTCACTTCAGGGCTTACACCTGCTGTAAGTCACTGGTTAGCAATCAGGTTACAGGCCTTTCTATAAAATATGATTAAGGGTTTACAAGCAATAATGGCTACACTTTTAATGTGTAATTACAGAATATTATGGCTTTATGTTTTGCCAGTATCTGAGTGTTTAGGACCAGCACAAAGTGGGAACTGAAATGAGTCATTGCACCATTAATTAAGGAAGATCTCAATCTAATTATAGCATGAATTTCAGGTCACTGACGTCCTCATTTTCATGCATTTACAGCATGTTAATCATGTGAATATGAGACACCAGATCAGATGTCACACATTATTGGCTGCTCTTAATAGCTTTTGTCTTTTCCAACCAATATGAACTTGTAAATGGCCTTTGGCTTAAATGACATTCTTGCTCTTCTGATGCATTGTGAAATTGTAATATTGCTCAAATTCCCATGTTATACATCTCAGTATGGTCTTTGAGATAAATGAAAATCTCAGTTCTTACATAAGAACTGATAATTACAGACTTGATGACATGTCCATTTTCTTATGTTATTAGTACACACACAGACGTTTGAACATAATATAGAAAGTCTCATGATGTTATTTGTCTATTATAAGCCTTAGTTTGGAATATTAGGGTAAGTCCAGAAAGAGATTGGAGCATCAATGCTAATATCACACTGAAGGCAATGGAATAAATAAATAAAAATAAAAAGGGATAAAAGATGAGCAACAGTGGCTGAAGAGTGTGCTATATCAAGATGATGCTGAAGGTGTGAATTGTTTGATTTATTGTCTTGAAATCTGCAACAGTTGAGAACCTTGCCAGCCATCTGTTTCTCCTCAAAACACCTGGTAACCTTCATCAAAGGGATAGCAAGCAAAAGCCAAGCCCAAACCAGCTCCCTATCCAGAAAAGCCGCTGTCCACCACAAGCCTTGTGCAGTAGGATTACATAGAGTTGTGTGGGTGATGCAGAGGCAGCTTCTGCAGCTGCAAGTGAGTCAAGCCTGGGGAAACAAAATGCATTCAAGAGTGACAAAAAAGAGAATTTTTATGGAACATGAGGGGTCAGGTTCTTAGGCTGAAGTTATGATTAGGTGGAAGGCAGTCCATGTTTTCTTAGCCTTGAAATTGAGCTTGAAATCCTAAAATGACTAAGAGCAGACATGGCAGCAGCAGCAACAGCAGCAGTGTGCCAGTTTAAATGTTACTCTTTAGTGCCAAGGTTTCTAGCTTTTACCAGGCATTCAGCCCAAAAACAGCACTACTGTAAGAAAAGCAAGGGAGTGCACTGATTGGGGGCATGTTGAGTCAGGTACGAGTGAAATGATAAAATATGAAATAGGAGAGCCAGTCTGAGTGACAGAGCAATTTATACAGGATTATCAGAAACCAAAATATGTCAGGGAGAAAAAGATTTTACACTGTTGTGGCCTGTCAACAAATTTGCAACATGCAATCAGAAACACCAGACCCGCATATTTATTAAAGATGTTGCCCCAAGAGCTTCCAACTGCCGAAGTAAGTGAGGGCCAGGGCCCATGCTCTGGATATTCTTAACAGTCAGATGAACAAGATAATCCAGGAGTGGCTGACATTATCAGTGAGAGGAGGCAATTCATTGCTGGTTTTAGCCTCTGTATGAGAAGCGTTGATGATACTGTTAATACAGAAAATGACTTGCCTTGTTTTTTATGTGGCTCAATACTGAGAACAAATTAAGAAAAATGAGAGAAATAGCTGGAATCACAACACAACATTTCAACACTGATAATACAGGAGCAAAATCCTTTAATACTGCTAACATAGGCTGGAATGTGGGTCTGCATACCTCTACAATCCCTGAGATCTTTAAACAATCATAAATCATTATGTAAGATGACAAATGCACAAGAGTGAGCTTACTAAGAGGGAAAAACAGGGCAAAAGTGAAGAGAGAAGAGACTGAAGTAGGAGTTTTTGGCTGACATCACTTTAACTACAGTTTCCTTTAAGAGATCAAGGCACAGGCAGACAGAGTAGAGAAAGGGAAGGGAGGGAACTGGCAACAGCGTAGCCAGGCATCTGGACACTTCTCATCTTATTCAGGAGGAATGGCTCGTCAGCCTACAAGGTAGGTGCTGTATAAGCCTCATTTACTTTATGTACTGTAAAATAGTTCACATAATAAATGATATATTGCCTCTTTTAAACACAGAATTGACAACAATGTATAAAAGCATGTTAAAGTGTATGAACATCTGTGAAGAAAACTGTTACACTAATGTGTTATACTGTAAATATATGTTAGGTTACAGCATATCTTTATATATACAGTAACATGATACAATGAGACAAATAATTCAGTGAGCAGTATCATGTTTGAGCATATTTATCATATTTTGCTGTCAAACATGTTGTATCTGCATTCCAATTGCCCACTTTCACCACTTTTATCTTTTAGTTACAGCAACCAAAACAAAATATTTTCCAGCAGCATTATTGATTCTTAATGATTGACAATACATTTAAAGGTATTCAACGACATGTGCTGAGTGTTATTTGAAACTGCTCTCAACTCTTACGTAATGGTTCACTGTGAATCAGAAGGGAAGCCCACCCAAGTAAGATGATATCTCATATCATGCAGAGAAAAATCAAATGCCCTCAAGGGAATTTGGAAGGAACAGAGCCGAGCCTGTTGCTCAGTAGTTGAACGTTGCCCTACTGCCTGATTCAGGTGTAACAGAATGTCAAAAGAACTTGTAATCATTTATTGGAAGGCAACTGTTGGGTGGTGTAATTTAATGTTGCAATGCAGCAGTCAGTAAATCCAGTCACATTTATTGCACGATATAGAAATTGATACATTAGTTCAATAGGTGTGTAGTTGGCACTCAAAGAGGTGAACTGATGATCAGCTATTTGCTGAGGTTCTGTGGTTCTTCTGGTTATACTCCTTACTCTCACTTTAAAGCTCACTGCTTGAAAATCACGAGCTGTACACGTAGCAATGTCTTCAGCACTGACTGACCCAGTGACTGTTGTGTTCAACTCTGCTCCTGTGGACACACAAAGGCCAAGTCAAGTAATAACCCTATAATACACATTTCCTCAGTGGGCGAGCTCCCAAACTTTTCATGACAGCAAATCACATAATTGTACCCAACAATTACAGACAGAAATGCACAAGAGATCCATTGATATGTCAGTGAACTGGCAGGAGATGAATAATGTCAACATTATATTGCACGTTTTATGCCCGTGTGTATTGTGGCAGTATATGTTTTGATGATTATATACTACTCTGTTGGTGCCACAGGATCTTAACAATACTAAACCAAAAACATTAACTTTTAACTTAGAATGCTGAGGGTCATTTTTATATTGTTCTTGTGACTTTTGTTTCTAAGCTAAGCTAACCAGCTGCTGGGTCCAACGTCCAGCACATTTAGTGTACAGACATCTACACTCTCAGCAAGAAGACAAATGAACATATTTAAATACATTTGTCTCAATGTCACTGTGTAACTGTCTTTGTTTTGTGTCCTGCTCAGCATCCCAGGCTTAAGCACCACAGCTTTATATGGAGCAACAAACCAAAACAGCACCAATGGCAGTACATGTCCTGATGTGGATGCCTGGGAGTGGGTCTACAATGGGTATCCAGTGTATATCCTGATCATCATTGTGCTGGGAATCACATTTAATGTGTTTGTACTGATGGTTTTCTGCCTCCACAAGAAGGCCTGCACTGTGGCTGAGATCTACTTGAGTAACCTGGCTGCTGCTGACCTTCTCCTGGTGTCCTGTTTACCTTTCTGGGCTGTCAACATATTCAATGGCTTCAACTGGCCCTTTGGTCTATTCCTGTGTAAAGTCGTCAACCTGGGCATTAAGATGAATGCCTCCTGCAGTGTCTACTTCCTTGTTCTGGTCAGCATAGATCGCTATGTGGCGCTGGTTCATACAATGTCCCTTGGCAGAATGCGTGGGCCAAAGTATGCAAAATTGGGTTGTCTCCTGATGTGGGGTCTCAGCTTGCTCCTGAGTGTCCCCACACTCGTCTTCAGGGATGTGAAATATTTCCCTCAGTATAGCGCTAATGCATGTTTTCTGAAGTACCCAAATAACACTGTAGAGCGGCTCTGTGATTGGTTGTTGGTCATCCTTAGCTTCATCATCCCTGTTTCATTTATCTCATTCTGCACTGTCAAAATTATTCTGGCTTTGAAAAACCAGCCAATAGAGAGGTTCAGTGGAGAGAGAACAGAGCACAAAGCCACCACCCTGATGCTGGCTGTACTTTTGGCATTTCTCATCTGTTGGGTACCATTCCATGTGGTCACTGCATTAGACCTGCTCCTAAGAGATGGCATCCTGGGGGGCTGTAACTTACTGAGAGTCCTTGAAATCTGCAACCAGATCTTCACCTACTTAGCCTTCTTCAACAGTGTTCTCAACCCCATACTGTATGTCATTGTAGGAAAGAACTTCCGGAAAAAGGTTAGGGAGCTCTTTAAGCAGTGGAAGGTTACTAGAAGAGCAACCTCTGAGTCAACACGCTCAAACCAGTCCACTACTCTAAAGACTACTCTATAATATATTGCTGTCAAAAGCACCATACCCACAAAAGCTGACTTTGAAAAAGATGACTATGGAAGACATTTAATGATTTTCTGAATATTATTTAAATGATAAGCTAAATGTATGTTGTTGTATAGCAATGGGGCCTAATCACCTTTGCTCAAATCAGTCTTTGATGAGACTACTTTTCAAAAAAATTAGCTCTCGCTTTAATAGCTTTTTGGAAATGTTACTTTTACTTTACGTATATGCAAGGCTTGAATATTCTGTCTTGGAGAGGCTGTTACAGAGTGCTAAGTGTGATCATCTGCACCAGCAAAGTGTCATACTGTCCATGCTAAATACTGCAAATATATATTACTTAACATAAGCTGGAAAAAACTAATAAATGAGAATAGTTTTTTTACACCTTCATAACAGTTACACCACATTCAGTAAACTGCAGTGCATGGTTGCTGTAAAATAATTTGATGAAGTTTTAATGTTCTATTCTCAACGGCATCTCTGATAGCTCATATTGTAAATGGTGCCAGTATTTGTTTTCCTTTGATCATAAATATCAAATAAAATGTATACATGGTTTTATGCTTGTCTCGCTGCATCTTCATAATGCAATTAAATGTTAAGTTAAGCAGCAAAACAGGACTGTAAGAAAGGCACAACAACTGCTTGCTAAGTGTTCTTTTGGTGTCTCTGACTCATTGGCTGCTGAGTTAAAAACAGGATTCTGTCCAAGACTTTCCAATGATGACACACAAACATGCTGTTTTTTGTTGGCTGTGCAGACAGTATAACATTTTGTCATTATACATTTCTCCCCACGCCATAATTTAATGGTCCATTGTTGATTTTATGTGGGCTGTGGGCAGGTACACCCCTTGATTGTCTCCAAAATAAAAGGCATATAGTGCCAAACAGGAAATATTTGTTAGTTTTCAGTCTTTACCACCATTACCAGGGCTAGAAATGGTTGTGGAACAAAAAACATGCAGGCAGACAAAACTGCCTCAAATGTGAGATGTACACCAAAAATACACAGTCTGACCTTGTTTTGCATATTTTTGTCAGCATTTTATGATTCTGCTACAATCCCTTTCACTCTCCTCTCTGACATCTGGAAAATATATATTATTCTTTGTGCAAATGTATTTATTGAATATGCATTTTTACATTTTTGCTGAGGACTTGTAAATATGTTTTGAGAGCTGTGCAGTTTTACAGTGAAAATTCTACTCTATTACAACCCCGTCCGAACAGAGTGCCTTCCGTAAACCTAAAACATTACAACTAATCCTAACTAAAGCAAACCTGCAAAACAGATATTATCAGACCCACTACAACAATGAAATAGGAGTAAGCAAACAAAAGGAAAACAAGCCGATCGCCACTGAAGCGGCTGCTTCTTCTGCTGCCAGGAGGAAAAAGAACGCCTCGGAGCAAAGTCCCACCCACTTTAAAATGAGCTGTGCATCAATGGCCAAATCTGGTACACCTGAGGTTGAAGCAGCAGAATACCAACCCACCCACAAAATCTCCACAGCAGTTTTTTACTTGTTTAAATGCTTTTCCAAACACAAAACAGCCATTATATTACATACATCACTTCAGATGCCATTTTGTGCTGATCCCTGGCACCTCCCTTCAACAAGATCATGCAAGTTGTGAACAGCAGCAGGCTGTGATTTCCTGAGTGCCAATGTATCCAAGTCACAGCAACAAATTATGACTGTATAATCATGTAATCATCTTGACCTGGCCTTACACCAAAGACAGCATAACTCAATTGGCCTTATTGTCTTTGTGTGTGTGTGTAATCATACTGTACATGTTTGTAAATCCTTGCAGGTATAAATAAGTGGCTTTTTTTTAAAAACCAGAGATTATCTGTTGCTAAGACTCCCTTCTTCTAAAGTGACATGTACATGCTGAGTGTTTGACCAACAAACCATTATCCACACTCCATTAAATCAATCATTTCTGCTACACATAGCAACACATACAATGAGCCACTGTTGACACAGTTAAAAGCTTTTACTAGAATATGTCACCCTTATTTTTTTACTTCTAAAACTGCTTTTACTGTGTAGCAGCTGTCACAGTGGTCCCTACCTCGGCAGTTGAGTGACTTATGGAGAGTGCCACAAGAGATGAGATGGTCTGCAACCAGACAGCTGCATGGGACTGGGTTTACACCATGCAGCCTGCTTACATGTCCATCATCTGCTTTCTTGGCGTGATAGGCAACTCCTTTGTGCTCTGCGTGTTCTGTCTCCAGAGGCGCCACAGCTCTGTGGCCGACATCTACCTGAGCAACCTAGCTGCGGCTGATCTCCTCATGGTTTTGTGTCTGCCATTTTGGGTGACAACCATTATCCACAAGTTCCACTGGAGGTTTGGGGAGCCCATGTGCCAGCTTATCAACATTGTCATTGGGATGAATTATTATTGCAGTGTGCTGTTCATAACAGCTGTGAGTGTGGACAGGTACTTGGCTCTTACCAGACCGCTGTCCCAGGGAAGAAAGAGACAAGCCTTCTGGGCACGTGGGATTTGCTTCAGTATTTGGATTGCTGGGATCTTGCTCAGCTTCCCTGCTCTCCTCTTCCGCTCTGTGGAATACTTCCCTGATTTGGGCATTTACGCGTGCTATGTAGCATACCCCCATCAAGGCTGGAGACTGCGCTACAATATGACTGTCAACATAGTAGGCTTTCTTATCCCTGTTCCTATTGTATCCTTCTGTAGTTACCACATGACTAAAGTTATTTGG